AGAGATATACATTGGGTGCCAGTCAAGCTGACACCTTCGATTGTGCGCATGGCCATGGAAGGCGCCAACCATCATCCGAAAGCTGAGATCGTGTGCACGAGGGCCCAACGTACTATTAGCTAACGTCTTCGAGAATGCGCAACCAATATCGTACGCGCAACCTCCATTTTTTCCATATACCGTAAGGAGTTTGTCGATGATCGCTATCGGATATTTCGCACTGCCAGAATACATTAGTAATATAAAAATTAGATCAAAATGCGGTCTTACAGTTCTCCGCTTCGGATCATATCACACGCGAGAAGCACAAAGCGATGGCGGCATGAAGCGATAAAAATACCTGACTCTTGGAATACGGCAAACATCTTCTTACGTGAGTCTGGGCCAGCGTTTCTCCATCGATTGACACATGTGAATGCTCCCGGATGATCCGGGTCTGTAGGCTCATCCTCCCAGTCGTCATCATTCCTCAAGTCTGTCTAAAAGATAATGTTAGAACATAGTTGTATACATAGTAAACACTTACTTGTCGGGATTTGACTTCATTCTCAAACTTGTCAACAGCGTCAGCATGAATCCAATAATCCGAACGAGCTGTGCGAGAATCAGATCGGGCGGTGGTACCATAGATGGACGAGTCCCATCGCTTCAGGCTATTGTTACCGTCAATTGATACCAGCCATTCAAAATCGAGGGCAGGTTCATCGTCGAGCTTGTAAAAGCATGCAGGGCATGTGTTTAACATACGCCAGTTGACGGTATCCCGTTTGAGCGCCTGACGCAGACGCTGGTTGATGCGATGGAGGATTTCTAGAAAAACGTCATAGGCTGCCGAGAATTGCATTTTTAAGTATGGCCGATATGGAATCTACAAACTCAACGTAAATAAACGAACCTCAATGTGAGGAATGTACGTACATCGTGAAGGTAACATAAAGTCTTGCATTGTGATTGGATACTGAACCGGGGACACGTTCGGTGCGACTGACGGTAGGCAGCGAGTGTACGAAGCGAGATGGCAACAGAAGGATACATCGGGGCACACCCGATGTACCCATAGTAGATGAGGGTTTCATTCGGGTATTGATGAGACGGTAATGGTCGTAGATGCGAGCGCCTTCGTGCTGCAAAGAAAAAATAAGTACAAGATATCAAGGAACGTTTCAGACTTACTGAATGTATCAATGAGTTCAATCTCATTAATTGAGAATGAAGCATCGACACCTGACAGGACCTGATCTGAAATATCAGGCATACCGTCCCCGGAATCTCGACTGCGATAGTTTAAGTAGGCGTCAACGAGACGATCTATCTGAAGGCCCCAATGAGCGGTTTGAGTGTCGATGCGTTCTCCCCGAATTCGTGGATCAATGTGATGACTACAATGGGTGTTAATATTTGAAGAGTTGTACACAGTGGTGAATACGTACTATCCAGTTAGATCCGCCAGTTGATGAGCAAGGTCTTCAAATGCCTCATGCTCCCCACCTGCGTGACTGAGGTCAAAGGCCTCTTCACCTGGAGGCACTGTATGGGTGAACACCTCCACGTCCATTCCAAAATCTGCCATCATATTTTCGACGCGGCTTCGGTCCTCTGATGACATTTCTAATACAACAATAAGCGTTAATGATAAAAAAAGAAAATAGTACATACCTTGTATAGCAGCCTGGCGGCTGGAATCTGCCTCTGCCATACGCTGGCTTTGTTTGCCGGCTGCCAGGACTTTGGAATAGCGATGACCCCCTCTAAAACCATGGGAAATGATGGATTTCGAGAGCCCTTTGACCCTCCCGACACCTGAGGCACGAGGCATTACTGGGTTGGGGCGACGAAGGCACGAGGGAGGCGGGAAACGGCAGATACGAAGGAGGGCAACGACGAAAGCACGAGGGAGTTGGGAAACGGCAGGTACGGACGACGACGACGACGACGAAGGTACGAAGGAGGTTGAGAAGGCACGAGGGAGGTGGGAAACGGCAGGAATGAAGGAGGTTGACGACGACGACGACAAAGGCGGAACAATGGGGGCACGATGGAGGCAGGGAACGGCAGGGACGATGAGCACAGTGATGAGGAGAGCTAGGAAGCGTGAGAAGGGCCCCTTGGTTCGAATTAGGAAGCGTAGTAGGCGTTGCCGAGCGTGCCGAATTAAAATAGGAATATGACGCAATTAAGGCGGGGCGGGATGCTTACCGAATATAGCCTATGCGCGCGCGCGCCCACCATAGTGAGGTGTACATAGTTTTTTTGAAGGTATTTTGAGGAGCTGGGGCACTATTTAACGCTGGTGTAGGGATTTGATGAAACCAAGCCTAATTATAGTTGGCGAGACACGTAACTGCCAAGTATAATAAGGCTTATTAATAGGGCAACCCAGGTGATGCTGAAATTGTTCTGTGACAGTTGTGACAGTTCCAAGTTCGCCGCGACAAGCTGCGACCAGCAAGTTCTTCGATTGACAGCTCAAAACCAATGATATAATAAGATAGCCACCTTCACCGAACGCAAATCCTTGTGCATTACGTTCCCCTCGGAATACATCAAGTACCATACGTTGGAACAAGACGATGAGGTAGATTCAGCAGTCCCAGTGGACTCCTGGTTACAACTCCGAGACAGAGTCGTGAGAATTTAATTTCCTTATGTCATCAGACTTTCAACCGCTCATTCAAGTATGTCTCACTTGCAAATATAACAAGCACATCCTCGCTCTCGACGCCTACGACAACTTCCTATCACTGGTCAGCAACTCGCCTTATGACAGGTTAAAGTGTACATTGCCCTGATTTCCCTTTTTTTTCCGACAGGCTTGCAGTTCGGAGTTTAGCCTTCTAGTGCGTCCAGTGGGCCCAATTCCGAGGCCAATATAGCCGCCCAGCCCTCATCTCAAGGACTGTAATTCCGCAATGGCGACAAAAGTTCACACACACTTATTCCTAACGGGCAGGTTTAAATCTATCCCGACCCATTCACAGCCATGACGTACTGGAGGTCAAACGATTCCCATAGGACCATTATATCCTGAAACACTGAAGACCTAAGGGTGATGACCAACTGGATGGACCACTAAGTTGCGCTCTTTTCGTTTTCTCAGCTCCATCTATGTCACACAGTGGATGGATTTGCAGTGTCCGTTTTACCCATTCAACAAAAATCGCAACCCTCGTCCTCTAGAGACTTAAAACTGACTGTTGTTGTAGCAAAGCCAAATATGTGGATTGCGATGGCACATTATATGCGAAGCTGGAGATGACATTAAACCAGTGTCGATGGGTTGGTAGTGATGCATCGACTAACATCGAGAATGATATGAGGATGTCAACCTCTGCTCCCCGAATCAGCCGTATCCCAAGGAACGCTAGTACTACGGCGGATTTCATGACAATGCGACAATCTGAACGCAACGTTGGAGGACTACTTTGTGGGCAAGGTTTCCGGGGATGGACGATGGGAAACGAACGAGATGTGTGTGCCTTCTAGATCCTTTACTACTTGTATTGCTTATTCCGACGTGTGTCATTACCGGCATGTCACTTGTGATCTGGTGTCGGGTTTTACATCACAGCGAAAACCTTTACTTTCCGCAGACATTTTCCTGTCCCATGCCAGGAATTGTTGGTCAGAGATTTAGGACAGAACTAAATCTGTCACGCTTTCTCGGGCTCGTCCGCGTTTTCGTGAAGTGGAAAGAGTCTTTAGTGCAGTTGCGACCTATTGGCGATGGTTTTGACTCGCCTTCATGTGCGACAATTGTCGGCCCTACAAATGAGGACGAATTTACTAGTTCTAAGGTGATTCTTGACTCATGTACAGTAAACTTCATTTCGCTGATTCATTAGTACGGGCATATGGTCCGTTCTACCCACGTAGTTGCCGATTAGCCACTAGTGATTAAAGGATGGATAGTGCACTGTGCTCCTGTCTTATTGTACGTCACATCAGCTATCGCACTAATTCCCTCTATTATTTCCAGAGTGACAACGTCTCTTTTAAAGGACGAGACTGACTACATATATGTACCCGAGGATTACTTTTCTTCCTACACTGACTTCATTCAGGACATTGGAGGGAGCTCGATTTACTAAATGACCATCGGGATAGCATGCGTTCCGGTGATTGAGGGATCTAAACAATTCGCGTGGGTCTAAATCAAGTAGACTCAGATCGTGCACGCGAAGGCAAACGTCTGAGGTAACGGCTCGTATCAGTAGTACCTTGAATAGATCGAGAGATCCTGTAAGTGTGTGGAGTCATAGCAAAAGAGAAAACATGGTACTGGCCAAAGCAATCAAAGGATTTAGCATACAATGGTAGGTAGTGTCATAAGAGCACATGATCAACGAGGGAAAAATAACAGAAAGATACATGTCGCTGGACAATAACGAAACTGCGGGCGCACTTGCTATTCCAACAGTGGTTGCACCCGTCTATTTGGCCACGTGTCTGCACTCTAAACTTGTCCGGACAAAAGAACCAGTATATCATGGTTGCTTCATAAATTGCCTGATCCTCATTTCTCTCAGAACCGATCCCAATTCATACTAGTCATTTTATTGTCAACCGCTTTGCCAACGAGCTTCGCCGGCTACTCGTCGATTCCAAGGTAACCCGGAGCTACCGAACAATAAGAATAGAAAGTACCCTGCATGAGATAAACGATGAATCAACTTTGATTGGCTGACAACCTTGTAGCTTACATAATCGGGTGCTGCTAGTCTTTTGTCTTCCCGGATGGATATGGTGCAAAGTTGCAAACCAACGATCGACCAACGAGGCGCATTAATATGGCTTACTCTGCTCACGGCACCTGGGCCAAACGTGTTTCATAGACAATAGTGCGTTTCTTTCACCGGTTTCATATCCGCGGGTAAATCCATGTTTGGTGACGAACATTGCATACCACGCTAATTGTCAACATCCTGATTCCTTCGAATTCACCGGTGGCGATGCCTGGTCGAAGCGGATACATATATGAGAGTTGAGAGGAGGACTCCCCACAAATACCTGCGACTCCCCTTTAACAATATCAGGGCTTCCTAAGCTCTACTGTACTAAAAACTCCACAACTTCGACTTATCTCCTGACTCCTCCTGTATCAAGTCATGGATTCGTTCTTCACACTCGCTGCCTTTTCCTCGGCGCCTGTCTCTTCTGAAGAGACGCAAGCGCAAGTACCAGTTGACCAGGAGCACTACGGCAATGCCAACTGCTACTGCGTCATCGCATGATCAGCATCACACCGGTATGTTTCTTTTCTCCCTTCCTTGCTGCCCGCGACTGAGTCTGTATCTCTTTGACCATTACAGCTCTTCTCTCGCAACCGCGTTATCATCACTGTACATTACCACTCTCCTTGTACGGTTCATCTAACCGGTCTTCGTTCGCAAAATTCGCCACATTCTGTCACAGTTGACGGACATTATGTATTATATTATCTATCGTTTTGGTAGACAGTGGTACTTACATCCGGTATGCCAAGGCTGCTGGGGATCACAACACTTGGTTCGCATATCTTCGACTCAGCTACACTTTCGTTACCTTTCTGTTGTACATATTCGAGCTCTTATTTTTTTCTGTAACTCCCTCCAGATATTACATGTATACCGTGTGCATCTTGATACTTGGAGTATGATGTGAGCTGTAAATATAAGCGTGCAGGCAGTGAATCACAATAAATATATTTCGACACCGATACATTTCTCGAGTTCATTGATACCATTCAGCACTTACTGGTAGCAGCTGAGACATCCAGCGCTGAAAATAAATTTACTTTCAATGGCCAGACGTGAATCCGAGTCGTCACGCCAGGTGTCTATAAATCAGAAATATATATGTTGCCAATTCAATATTCAATATTCTGACTCGAGTACATTATAAGTTGAACGAGTTGAACTTGGAAATTTGGCCCAACGGTAAGAGCCTCGTGTGCGTTCGCAAAATCCTGAACACTGTGACAGAGCTCAACATTAGATAAGCAAAAAAACCTTAATACATAGCCACATGAAGTTACGAGCGACACGTTTTGAGTTCCTTGCCAGCGGCCTCAAATCATCGTAAAATCATTAGGCGAGTACTGTAAAGGGGGTGTTTTTACTACTGTAGAGTAGGTTTAGATAGTTATTTTAATGAAACATGAATATGTAGAGATGTTACCCACTAAATGTCAGATCTTGAGTATGATTTTGGAAGCACATGAGCAAAGTCAATATGACGCGTTTGTGACGCGTCAATATCAATGTGATATGTCGTTGCGTCAACAACTTATGTCTCTTTCCTTAAACTCATTCATTTATTATGCATTATCCTGCTCATTACAATTCATGGTTTGCTTTTGATGACAACAACGACACTACATACCTCACGGACCTCGAGGATGATTCATATCAAAGCACGCATTTCGGATCAATCCATCAATCACATCATTCTGATACCAGACACTCACAGACACCAACTGTAGATTTTGAAGTACCATTACACTCGGACAGTCATTTGCATAGCTCATCATAGTATACTAAATTTTACATCACTTAATTCTCTGTCTCTGAGTCAACAATCATCAACTGACACCCAATCATCAAACACATCTTTGGTTCCAGCCTCGGTCTCAGATGTTGATATCGAAGCACAATTGAAGCTCAATACTCCTGAATGATTGAATCACTGTATCTATTATTCAAGGCCAATCGGCTTCCAGTGTCAGATCAATTCGGAGATCAATGGAGACTACTCTGCCCTGAGTGTGCAAGCTGGTGTCAAACCAGTGTACATACAGCCTTATCTCTATGCACACCTGGTCAATTCAAGTCACTCACCAATCATCGAGGCAGTAAGAAGTGTGCCGCTACTGCTTCCAAAAAGCAAAAGCACGACACTCAGAAAGCTGGCACATTGATCAAGCCTTGCTTTCGATCTGATCAACCTAGGTGTGTGTTCATTTCGGCTGGATTTCATTAATGATTGTGTAACATTATGTCATTGTCAGCAATTGGAACATTATGTGTTCTGATACACATAGACACCGAGCCGACGGTATCTCGTGCTTATATATGTTAGATAGGTACGCAATTGACAAGAGACAACATTGTTTTGCCACTCGTATCGAAGATGAACGAACTTACCCGTAACGAAGCCGCCTGGGGAGGAGGTTGTACTGCTAAGCTTAGGAAACGATATGTCAAATACGTCTACAAAACATTATAATGTACTCATCTAGAGAGCAGATACGACAGCGCTAGCTAGCTATAAACACAACGACACCAAATCTACAAATGGCACAGAAGATCATCTAGTGGCACAACGTACATCATGCATATTCAAAACCAAAACCAAGCCTATGTAGCCCAAACCCATCTAAGATACACCACCACCCCTACGGAGAATTCGCAAACAGCCACATCATATTCCCCACATCACCAGCATCCAATTTCCACTTCGCATCCGTTCCCTTCCCACTCGTCGACACCGTCTCCGCATTATCCAGCTCATTCAACCGCCTCAGCAGCTTCTCGTCACTACCTACAGCGAAGACGAACCCTACATCACCACCACCTCCGCTCACGGGTACGTCTAGGTCGGGCATCGAGGAGGAACGCGGGGAGTGGGCGGGTCCACCTGGATGTAGGATCGCGCCCACTGCTGTGGAGCGGGAGATGTTGTTTGGGAGGACTAGGAAGGAGTTGGACCCTGGGATTATGCGGAGGCCGTAACGTTCGCCGAGGCTGGAGTAGGAGTATTAAGGATGAGTAGGATGATGTGGGGATGCCCAAACGCACCTATCAAAGATATGATTCTGCGCTTCAGCAGCCTGACGCCTCGCCCACTGACGATCCGCACAATCATCCGTCGGACCAGTCCAGAACCTCCACACAACAGACGCCTCACGCTCTTCTACAAACGAACCAGGTGTGCGTTCCGTGAACTACACCCAACGACACATCAATCAGTACCACCCAAAAACACCCTGAAAAACACGCACATAATTCAAAATTTCCACACAAAGACCCTTCCACGTCAAATTCAAATTGGCAACCATACTTATCCACACCCCTCCTTTCCCATTCTGCACCGGAATCTTCGCAAAACACCCGTTCTCTGCTACTATACCCACTCCAGGCGCTTTGGCAGCGACTTTCTCAAGGCTCTTGATAGGCAATCCACTGAGCAACCACACCTCGTTCCGCTGATTCGCAGAGAACTTGTTCAGGAGCTCTACTGCACCTTCGGGAGGTACGAACGGTGCGAGGAGTCCAGCGCGCGACATGTCGGGACGCCAGAGCGTGCCTTCGAAATCGAGCAGGAGGATTCGGCGAGAGGAGTGTTTGTAGCGTGGGAGGAGGAGCGTGGTGTTAAGCGCAGGGACGGAATTGAGGTCTGTTTGGATGGTGTGTTCGGTGTTGGCGCGAAGGCAGCGTGTGAGGAAGGAGATTACGAAGGTTTGGGCTGTTTGGGTTACAACGTGGTTGTGGAGGTCCTGTTTTAGGTAGGATGAGCGCGTATTTAATGATTGGCGTATGAAAGGGATTATGGGCGTGTGTTGAGGAGATGGGCGCGTGTAAGACAATGGGCGCGTGTAAGAGATTAATGGGCGCGTGTAAGATGAGATGAGCACGTGTTTGATGATCAACAAACGTTTAAAACCAAGTCAGCGCACATCCATCAATTAAGCAGACAAGGTTTCCTCACCTCCCACCTTGATAATGCCTCCTCATCACTCATAGTCAAAGCCTACCCCACCCCACCCAATATCAGTTACTATTCCCAATCAATAAACACAAAAACGCACCTGATGAATAGCCTTGGCAGTCCCATGCGTATCATACGGGTTCACAGCGATGCATGACCTAAATCCGCTATAACTATACGATCCAGTGAACTTTAAAACCAGGTCAATAAACAGAGGTATGTGGGAAGGGAAGAGGGGGGACATACCTCGCTCAGGATCAAAGGCCTATGTCTCCCATCTTGACATTCAACAAACTCATGCGTCCTATCATAACTATCAGCACTCACAATCAAAACACAGGGGGAATACCACCAATCTGCAATGAACCGAAAACTCACCTCAATGCCATCCCCTCCCTCAAACTGGTTACCAAAAACGCATCCGCGACAGTTAAAAGCGCCAGATATTGACTAAATGTGACTTCTTGCGTGTGAAGGAACACGACTGGCTGGTAGGTGAGCGTGCTGAACGCACTGTTGATGCGTGCTACGACGTCTGATACGCCGCCTGCTGCTAACTCGTTGGATTCGGTTGTTTGGAGGGCTACTTGGAGGAGGATGACCTGGTGTTTGTGTTTGTGTTAGTATAAGTTATGTTTCGTATTGGAAGGAGGGATAAGATGGGAAAGGAGAATGGGAAGTAGATGACAGAAGACGGAAAAGGAAAGGAAAATGCACCTTTCCCTGATACTCTGGCCACTTCTTCAAGAACAACTCGAACGCCTCGAGTTTGTGCCTCACGCCTTGGATCTCATCCAATTTATCTCTCCCTACGACTATCATCATACCCGAATAGCGTTGTCGGAGGAGTTGGACCCAATAAGAGACGTCGGGCTCGCGGCGCCGTTCGCGTAGGGCACCTACGTCTATGCCCATGGGGAAGATACCCACGTCTACGAAACGGCCGTGGCCTTCACGGGCACCGCCTGGGATGCCGTATTCGACCTGAGTAGGTGTGAGCGGGAAGGGAGAGGTGGAAAAGAGGGAAGGGGTGAAAAGAAGGGAAGGGGAGAGGGAATCGGTGGAAGAAAACACTATCATCCCACACACCAATCAAAACACCCTGCACAAAAAGGACGTCAGGACGAGGCAAGAAACCCACCTGAATCCCCTTGGGCAACGCTTCGACTGCAAGAATGCGAGAGACGGTTTGTCTGTGTGGATTGTTTGCGTGCGTTAGCTCATGCGTCGTGAGATGAGATGAGATGAGATGAGTGAGAAAGTGATAGGGGTGCAGTACGTATACGAACGCAGTGAATAAAGACGAAACCAGGAAACCCAGCCAACTATATCTCCTAGCACAACCCAATCCCCTTTCCTAAGAACCTCAGCTGAGACAAAACAAAACACACCTAAAATGCCTCGCATAACTCGCAGTCTGAAATCCTACAAGATCCGCACCGAGCATACCACGGAGAAGATGTTCGCGTACGCTTAAGCATCTATGGGTTTGGGTCAGTGACTTAGAAGGTGGCATGGTGTAGAAAGGGGAGAGGTGTGATGAGTGTCAAAGACTTGGCACCGACGCCAACGGAAACGGAGAAACGACCCACCTAAATATCTCACTACTCGGAAAAGCGACATGCATGAAGAACCCGATTGTAGCACTAGCGAGAGCGGGTACACGTGTGCTTTGGCGGAGGAGGAGGGGGAGGAGCATCAGGTGGTAGTCGTTGATCCAGACTGAGCGCGTATATCAGACAGAACCAAAGTTCCCCGCAACGAAAGACGTACCGACATCGCCCTCCGTCCAGACGCTCTCGATAGCCTCTGCAAAACGTTTATTAACAGCAGCATACTGCTTAAATGCCGCGCTCTCGAAGAAGAGTTTCGTTTTTGGCGCGTCGGGGACTGCATAATGAAGACACGGCCAAAGGACCTACATATCGGGCATCAATGTGGATCCGCAAGGGACAGGGAAGAAAAGGACCTGATGACAAAACTCATCATAACAACTCTCAAACTCCGCATCAGGGATCCAGACCGGTAGACTAGAATGCGACTCCTTCATCCTTCGATCGATGCTCGCTTTGAGTTCTGTGTTATAAGCGTCTGTACTGCTACCGAGGGTCCCGACCCAGAGTTTGTTAGTCATACGTTCTTTAACGCTGTCGACTGCGTTCTTGAGGCCACCGTTGCAATGGATGTTTGGTGCAAAGTAGTAGGGTTCGGATGATGTGTTTGAGTAGGAGCGGGTGGGGTACCTAGGTGGCTTTGAGGATGATCTGCGCTGTAGACGAATAGGATGGAGTGGGTCTGGTTGAAACTTTGCAAGGGAAACGTCCATGTTTCGGATAGAGGACGGTGAGATTGAACCCTTGCCTGCGGGAGATGGAGCTAATGAAGCAAATTTGGAGAATGGATTTAATTCAGAGGGAGGAGTGGTGATTGGAGTGATTGCACGAGACTTGTAGGGGTTAATTCGTCGTACCTAGAAATAATCGAAGAACTCACTTTCAAATCATCGACTATACTCTTGAGAGGAGCTGGCGTGCTACCGATAGATCGCGATGAAGCATGTCTGAATGCTGGAGGACGACCGCCCAGGTCCTGGATAGCTGCTGTTGTACCTACCTCTCGAGCATAAATATCTGGAGTAGGAGGGCTACTTTCACCTGGAACTGCAGTCGTTGGTAAGAATAGTGAAGCGATGATGACACGGTGATTTCGTAGTGAGCTCATGATTGTTCGTGATCAGAGCTTGTTATCCGTAGCAGTGTCCTCATAAACAAGATCCCAAATCGTCATGATGCTCCATCGATCCATCTGTTTTCCACACGGCGTAATCATTGTGTCACAACGAACGTGCCACCAAACCGACAACACCCGGGTTCCTTCTATTTTTGGCAAGTCTCGATGTCGTCCATGAAATGTGCGTTCTCGGATAGAATCGGTCATGGTCGTGCCAGAGACGCATTCGAGTTCGTGGTACTTAAGGTCTACGTGGCATGTATAAAATCTATCTAACTCCCTTACCACCCGTGAGAATCAGGTTATTTTGTTGCTGTCAGGGCAATCGCACCTCTCTTACTACTCTTAGCATCTGCATCACGTATCGAACAGCGTACCTTCACGCGGAATGTTCGCCAGCAACCAGGGATGTCATGTGGCTCGAACATTTTGTGGTCTCCAATGTCTATCACCCCAACTACGTTCCTTACAACTCTCGAGTCTAAGTACTTCCGGCACCAAACTGGCAATACATGTTGCGGCTTGTCCATGGCCCCATGCGATCCATCGTGGGTTCCACTTCATGCTTAGTACTTCCACCACTCAGCTTATGACGAATGGCAGATCGTGGCTGAAGCGCTGAAGATCGAAAAAATATTCCATCGTATCCGCTGCCCTCGATGCAGTTCGCAAACGATAGTTAGCTTACTTGTCAGTCTATGTTCCTGTAGCATGATGACATTTCTTGACTATTGCAAGTCACCACCGATCTCAGTCCGAAGACTCAATCCAGAATATTGATACTCGTGTCGTCAATAATACACGGCATCGCAGCGTCAACTTAGGTGCCTCACAAGGACAACACACAACATCTATCTCACTTATATCATAAGCATGCTGCCCAGTGTAGTGTTCTACACTGTCGATCAAGTTTTTGAGGGAAGGCTGGGATCTGGAAGGCAGGGTACCTTAGTCCGAGTCTGGGCTTCCACAACTAGTTCTTGAAAATCCTTCCGGACGCAGACTGGCGCATCAGAGAACCTGAGAGAAGAAGATATCATCATATATCGTAATATATAGGAAAGGTTTTCGTCACATTGTAATATAAAGTGATATAAAGCAATATATGACCATGTAAAAGCACCATAATCAGCATAATCCCCAGCAAGAACTCACCGGTTTACTGATGGGCTCCGTAGTGCGAACCCTTGATTCGCTTGACCCAAGACTCACCTGTCCGCTCTTCTATCCCATTTCGAATTGAGTAATCTTATCTTTGATTGATGATTCGAGCTGAATGATGTTATTCCAAGTCACTGTTTGTCAGACCTCAGACGCTTCTCATGACGTGGAGATCTTGTTGGTTCAGTCATCCATGGAGCTGACGCCGCCCGACATAGCGATGTCTATTTTTTTGTAGAAAATGTCACACTTCACACGATACTCAGGAATCCACGATTATATTCAATCACCGAGGTCATCGCTCCGCTTCTCACGATTCTAATCTTTCCAGTTTACAGTCAGTCGTACTTTGATTTTTCATCCCACGAGGGCCGCCCAGCATGTGATACGTCACCGTGCTACAACTGCTTTTACAACGAGATACCGTGCTATGCATTGCTCCCTCGTCGAAACGGAAAACCTGGCTTCAACATATAACCAAAATAAAGGCGCATCATAATTCAACAGCCGCCACACGTACGTGCATTATTTCTTGACATCATGATAACCAATGATCGTCCCTGCGTTTTCGCCATCTCGAAAATTATCTCAGTCGCACCCTTTCCAAGTCAACCTTGTGCTCATATCAATCTTTTCAGTCCTAATTGCCACGACACCCAACAACAACGCTACTCCGACCCACCAGGGGCAAGTGAATTGCATTTCTTCTCAAGGCTGGGAACTGACACTAACCAAGTGTACACCGCTTGCGGGATCTGGTAATTCGCTCTGTTTTCTACCAGTAATTTACGAGACTGTGAACTTGAGAGAAATAAAACATGTTCTAATGGAGGTCGAGCATTTCTGACACACAGCAGCGCGCGCTGGGATTAAATATGTCTAGGCGGCACATTGAACGACGCAGTTCAAAGGCTCACGGTCATGGATAAATCGATGATGGATTTCAGTGGACATTCCACACCAGAAAGAACACGTGCCAACTACATAGTACCATTGTTGGTGGGGTATTATTTATTACTTTCGGAATAAGATAGGCGTGCAACTTGAAAGAGCTTCATCCGGAGATAGATGGGGTCGATTAGATCTCATCAGCTGAGTACTTATTTGATTTCTGGAGAGCGCTCCTGATTGTCAGCTTTTCACAAGTTGGTTTGATGACCCGAAACCAGGAACCGCGCAGCTAGTCTCCCGACCAGCACTCGACCCTGAACTATCAGCGTTATCGTCCAATCTTTTAGCAGCCGGTCATCACAGACACCCGCCTCGACACACCCTCACCATTGTTATCCACCCAATCCCTGGCCATTGTCTGATCTGATGATGAGACCAGAATCGATATTCTTCCATATTCGTAGTATTATCCCCCTGAGGCCTGAACCGGCAGTTTTCAACCCAACATTCCACAGATGGAGTGCCTTATATTATCAAAGAACACAATGCAAATGCGACCAGGGATTTTGTATCTGATCGTAACTACTTTACCTTGCGCTGCCGCGTCATATACTACCGCTGTCTCTCAGTTACAGAAACGGACAGTGCGGGGCTAAGTCTGGGGTCTGCAGTCGCTCGGCTCAATTCGGCCGGAGTTTACATTCTCCTCAACAATATTCTAGGCCTGTCGGAGCCCTCCGAGCATAGATGCGCTTGCCTAATTACCGCAAGATCTTGGTGTAAGAATTGTCCGCCTCCGTCGTGGACGCTGGAGTCACAGGTCGCTCTGAGGCATCTTATTGGCAAATGTGGGATCACTAGCCAGCGACGTAGCGGATGCATTAAACAAGCGGCAATTACATAACAGCCTCCTTCCGGTTTCATGGTGACATTAAAAAGTGGCAACATGTAAGCTGCATACACAATGTATGCTCCTGAAAGGGATTCGAGGCTAGCAAGGCATGACAAAACAGCTAGAGTCTCCCTAACCTCATTTACAAGAAGAAAAAGCGAAAATGGCAATGGACTTATCACGCAAAGTTCTTGCTTGCTGAGAGATGAACGAGGTCTTCATTTCTGCTGTAACTGAGACCGCGGTAATGCTCGTACCGAGGGAGCGGTAGTTATAGACGACTTGTGCTATTCCAGTCAGCCAAATATTGAGTCATAGCTGGACAGATAGGAACACAATCGTTTGCCTGAAGGCACTCCTCCCAACTAACTCGGATGTCAGGCCTTCAGGGATTAATCGAAACAAAAATACACGATCCGAAACAAGTGTTTTGGGTCTGGTTCTTTCACGAACTTTGGATCCCTGTAGCAATTTGAACAACGGATCAACTCGAGCCACGTATGCGTTGACAACCGACTCCAAAAACTTCAGCTGATATTCATGTGTCCAAAACACGACTTTACGCCCTCTTCTGTGGAGCATAAAAGAGACAGCACCAACAATCAAGTTGCCATCAATATCTCCACAAGTGAAATCAACTCACCATCATGTTTATCCGCCTCTCTACTGTTTTCGCTGTTCTCATCGGCTTGACGGCCTTTGTAAACGCTGGAGTGCCAGTAAGCCTCACGACCCATTTTATCTCACCTTGTTGAGCTTACAATGTGCATAGGCCAATTATGTAGCACTTGCGCGCGTAAGCCTTTTTTCACACTGAATCTCATCTCAAACTCACCATATATCGTATAGGAAGAGTCTTCTGAACCATTTCAGCGCTCACCAGGACAACAGCGTGTTAGGCTTCTTTCGCATTGAATATTTCAGCTTAACTTACCAAGTGGTTGACTCACGGCACATTGTACACAGGGAAACTTCTATGCACTTCCAGACTATTATGAAGAACCAGTTACAAGGGACCTCGATTTAGAATAGTGCTCACAACAAATTGAACAGCCAGGTGTATTGCGTCGGAGTGTACGCGTCTATCGAGCATGTGTGAAGCTCCGAAGTCCATCAGAGACAAGTATTTGCACGCATAGAAAACACTGCTCAAATGATACGGGGATGATCACTGAGTAGAAATAGAAGGCACGGAAATATTGACGCACAAGCATGTATATTAAATAGTTCAAAAAACCCGTTTTCTACGATGGAGACCAAGAGACGATCTCGCTAAAGTGCTAGAGAACCTAAGTCACGGTGGAGTTTCATCTGATTCGGACGAGCATGACTTACCTCTGACAACATTTGGTGTCTTGCATGGCGACGAGACAACACAAGGTCATGGTCTCGTCCTACCCTAGTGAGAATGGCTGATTTCTGCTCGAGTCGATACTGATGCATAGTTCAATGTGAGCAGGCATGTACCGGGAGGTGACAATCATATATTTTGCGCCGATGACTGTAGATCATAAGGATCATGAAAGGAGTACGAAGGTGGTATGCAGCGACTCAACTTCAAGTCATCAGACATGCTGGTGTAATAAAGGAAAACGAGGATCAAGGACGTGCCAGGTGCAGTGATGAGTGATGAGTATGAAAAGACGGGAGTCGGAGAAGAGGTGGGTGGTCCAGGTCTTGTGGCGCATGTATTTCCATGGCATTTGTATGTTTGACATATAGACATGTGATTATACAAAGCGCTGAGAACGATGGCCGACTTGAGAATGTTAGCGGAAGAGTCTGTACATGCTGCAAGAAGCGAGCAACGTCAAGGTCAGTCATCACCGTAAGTAGCACGCCAAGTCCGAAGGGAACATGCGCATCCTGCGAGGCTTGCTACTCCTGTACTTTCATAGCTGAGTCGTACTAAGGTGAGATGTGTATTTCATACTAGTAGATACTGTAGAAACAATATAAACTGCTGAAAGGACGCGCAACAAAGTGGAAACACCAGTGAGGGTTCGTGAGAGCATGTCAGAAGGGATAGTAGAATGCAACGGACAATGTTAATAACGATGAGGAATATGATTGAGATCTGGAACAACAGTTAGAATGAGCTTCAAGTCGCTACACACCTAATACTATACAAACGCTGCAAAGGTGGTCAGCGGTCACGGTTCAAAACCAACAGAGGCAAGCTCAAAATTCCTTGGACAAGATTCAGAACGCAAACGAAAAAAAAAAAGAGACACCAGAAGTGCCTCATAAGCTTAAGGCTTACGAGGTGCAGCGTCCATGGCCAGTAGTACTAAGTGTTTGTCGTTGATGAGTCGGTGCCAGTGGCATCACATAAGCAACACGGTCACGGGAGTTGGACTGAATAGGAAATTGAATTCTAACCTTGTCCGAGGATGACACGGATAGGTGGCCACCTCAAGGAACCGCGAGTCGATGTCCATCTATTTGGTGATTTCCTGTACGTTACATCTTCCCCTCATCCAAGCACACAAGTCCTTGGCCAAAATGTCATCACGATCATCCGGTACCAATGATATAGTCAAATCCGGCAGCGATCAAGTTTCCTGAACATTCATCAATCGTCCTTCAATACAGTTGGTTGCATCCTCACTTTTCAAATTGACATTCTTTTCTCATTCCTCTGTCCAGGCAAGATTATCCTGCCCCCGTTATCAGGCTTCGTATAGAATCATTCGGTGCTTCTTAGCCTTAGCGTGCCGTCTTCAGTGGTTTTAACATTGTTCACATTACCATATGAAATACACTCGATTCTACATCTCGCCGAGGTGTGCTGACAAGTAGTATGATACAAGTCCAATTACTCTGAGACTCGCTCAACCTCGGCTGTCCACTTTCGCTGAAGACCGGTCATGACTAATATTGTCTACTCTAGATTCTTCCATTAATCCTGCCAGTGATCTCCATTCCCAGCGCTTAGTGCAATCATACCAGCGTTTATATCGTGCCGAACAGCCTTCGACAAATACACGTGTAGCATGACCTGAACCTCCCTCTCAGCTGAACTCTATCCACATATCATATCCTTACCCCCTTCATCCTTTCTCACTGATTCCGTCCACACCACTCAGCCCATCTTCAATCCCCACCAATTTGCTCTATCACACCATCATGCCTGGTAGCTCAGAAAGCCGATGTATCAGACTTGAAGGCGAGTCCCTCCGAACTACCTTCGTATTTATTGCCATCCTCACAATATCTACAGTCATTAGTGGAAAGAATCTTCAAGTTCCCTCCTGGCGCAACCCTGCTGGCATCTACGTATCCATCAATGTCGACTCCAGGGGGCGCTGGAAATCAGCCATCGGTGTCTTATCATCTGATGAATCTGTAGTGTGGGGGAATTCTATAACTCTGTAAAGTTCATGGAGACATTCTGACGCGATGCGAGAACTGATCTTCGGTTCATAGATCATCACACTCCTTACCTGTACTGTCAGTGGAGATCAGGGCGTCCTTTGAGCTTGGTCGACCGCTAGGCGGTGGAGAGGTCATCGGCGAACTTCAGATGTTGCGGGATGAGCTACTCGATCATGAAGATGAGCCATTTGGTGAGTGGTTCGCTTCTCAGTTATGCACATACACTGACGTCCTGTAGATTTATTCTTCCCATCCGTGCGCGGTGTTCACCCTTCCCTCAAGCTGAAGGCCGTCATTGTACATGCTTGCGACGATCAGGACGACGCACTGTTTGATGTGAGTGACGCTGGTATCTGTCCTGTTAGCTTTTTCTGACAGGACGCAAACTGCAGTCCCTCGTAGACTGCGAGATTGCTCGAGACACAGATGCGGGTCACACACAATTTGCCGCATACATGACAAGCAAGAAAGTCTCTCATCTGAACGACGCTGTAGACCATTTTCAGTTGGTTCTGGACCAGTGTCCGGCCAGCCATCCAGACCATGCCACGGCTCTCACCAACCTCGCGTGGGCCCGCCTTGAAGGCTATATCTTAAATGATCTCGAAGACATCGATGCCACTACTTCCCTCTTCCGCGACACCCTTGCATTGCGTCCGCAGCACCATCCCGATTATCCCTTATCTCTATACAATCTCACCCGAGCGCTGACTTGGCGCCACTCCAAGAAAAGTACTGCTGCCGACATTCGCGAAGCCGCCCAACTCTATCATGAACTATTGCCTCTCTTCCCAGAGGGTACCTACCTTTATAGCATCGCGGCAGGGAAGAACGGTGTCGATCATGTGATTGGCAGCTGCAACGAACTTCCAAAAGATGCATCTGATGAGGGCATCCACTTTCGACGAGTCGTTCTCGATCTCTGTCCTCTGGGCCATCAACTCCGTCCATCAATACTTAATAAACTTTCAAGTGCTCTCAGATCACGGTTTACACAACGAGGCCACATTGATGATTTAGACGAAGGCATACTGTTTCGACGTGAAGCCGTGTCTCTGTGTCCCGAGGGACATGCTAACCGTCATACCTACCTGAACAACTTGGCCTTTTCACTCGTATCCCGCTTTAGGTACCAAGGCAAACCTAATGACCTCGATGAGGCAATCTCTTTACATGAAGAAGCGCTGCGTCTGTGCCCTGTTGGGCACAAATCTCGTGATTACTCATTAAATACCCTAGGGGGCGCTCTCATCGTCCGTTTCAACAAACGCGGCGACATTGATGACATCACCCAAGCTATCAGTCTCCGTCGCGAGGCACTGATGTTGACCCCACCTGGGCATCCACATCGTCACACCACGCTTAACAACCTTGCCCTCACGCTCCAAACCAGATGTAACAAATCGCATGTTAGAGAGGATCTTAATGAAGCCATTGATTTGTATCGCGAATCCCTTCGGCTAAATGGGCTTGACAATCCAGGGTACCCCGCAACTCTTTTAGGTTTGAGCTCGGTGCTCTGCTCTCGTTTCAAGCAAACTCAGAAGAATGAAGATGTCGAGGAGGCCATTGCTCTTTGCCAACAATCATTGGCGGCTCTGTCTTCACTGCACCCGGGCAGGTATTTCAGCTACGTGTGGCTAAAGGGGGCCTATTTGTCTCGTCACGAGATTCGACATGACCCTGCTGATTTACTGCTCGCTATAGAGAACTTCAGACTTGCCTCGCGGCACCCCACTCAAGGACTCCCACAACGCATTGCGACAGCACACAAATGGACCATTGCCGCGGAGCAGCATGGTCATGAATCCGCATTAGAGGCATACAGCACGTGTTTCGAGCTTCTTGATGGTCATTTGGCAACGCGATCATCGACTATTTCACGACGCGAAGCTGCTGCTGCCTTCAATGGTGTCAGATCGCTACCTGTAGATGCAGCCTCATGTGCCATATGTCACGACAATCTACGACAGGCAGTTGAACTCGCAGAGCAGGGCCGTGGCCAGCAATGGTCGCTGGCATCTCGACTCAGAACTCCAGTTGAAGACCTCGAGTCAGCAGATCCGACACTGGCGCGCGATTTTTCGGAGCTGAGCAAACGCGTTTCCAATGCCGCACAGAGTTCTGCAACCATCACCGACAGAACTGCTGCTGATCGAGCAGCAACAGAATATAGGAGACTTACAAGGCAATGGGAAGCAGCGGTAGCTGAGATACGCAATCTTCCAGCGTTCTCGCGGTTCCTCCTCCCACCTTCATACAAGGACCTCCAAGCCGCAGCACGCCAAGGCCCGGTCATCATCCTCATTGCGAGTCAATACTCGTGCAGCGCCATCATTGTCCCGACGTCAGGAGACCCCCATCATGTTCCTTTGCCGTCCATCGCTCTCGCAGATCTCAAGATTCTCAAGGATCGCTTCACCAGGGCAATACGAGAGTCATCTCGGATGAACCCACGGGAGTCGAGGACGGATCTAATAGTGCTCTTACGGATAATATGGGACCAGATCATGCTACCCATCGTCGACGTACTCGAGCACGTCCTCAAACTACAGCGCCGCTCTCGAATCTGGCTGTGTCCCACTGCAGCTTTCACGTCCATTCCTCTTCATGCAGCTCACCCGTTTCAAACAAAGCCGGATCGTTCTGGGAAGGAGCCATGCCTGGAGGATATCTACATCTGCTCTTACACCCCGACACTTTCTGCTCTGATCAGATCTAGACAGTCGATGAAGAAGCGCGTGCCTCCGTCCTTTGTGGCGATCGGACAGGGTCAACCGGGTGCAGGGAAAGGCAAGGCGCTCTTAGCTGTCGACAGCGAGCTCGAGCTCGTCCATAAGCTTGTCCCCGCGACGGCCAACCGCACCACTATCTCTGGCGATGAAGCCACACGAGCAGGTGCACTCGAAGCCTTGCAGCAGAACACCTGGGTGCACCTCGCTTGTCATGGCAAGCAGGACCCAAAGCAGCCTTACGATTCGCATTTCGTCATGAAAGACGAACATTTGACGCTGCTCGATATCATGGAGAGACATATTCCACAGGCCGAGTTCGCGTTCTTATCGGCTTGTCATACCGCTGTAGGCGATGAGGAGACGCCCGATGAAGTGATCCACCTCGCAGCTGGTATTCAGTTTTCAGGGTTCAAGAGCGTCGTTGGCACGCTGTGGGAGGTCGACGATTCTGTCGCGAAACACGTCGTAGAAGCTTTCTACGGGTATATGTTTGGAGATTTGCAGAAAGGTGGTGTCATGGACTGCACGAGGGCAGCCTGGGCACTCAACCGTGCTACGCACACGGTGAAGACGAAAGTGCCGCTCGAGCAGAGAATGGTTTTTGTTCATATTGGTGTGTAGTTGTACGTCGCATTGCTGTCGTCTGGTATATATTCACATGTTAATCTGAGACCCTCTTTCATTCTGTTGTACAAATGACCCTGATGCATGTTTCTTCACTCTAGCTATAGTCTATTTCGTATATATTGTCGTGTTTTTGTCGACTAGAATGTTTCACCAAAGTTCTTGTGTACTCAACTTTGACTCAACTCGTCTTTTGCTTGAGTACTTAGATAGTAGGAGCCGACTCGCGTCTTCCAATTACGCCTGAATCATTGATGCAATTCACTTAGACTTGAATTTCGTTGTTGCGCACTGTTTCTTTGCATTCGAATCCATACTGAAGAGCTTGAAGGTAGCATAATAACGTAGCAGTGATCAAAAACACGGGCACACCAGATAGCGCTCGTAGTACTCGTGCATCGAGGTCACGCAATGGACTCGCGACTCTGCAAGACGCAAACGGGATCTGAGGGTAAAATAACCTTTGTTTCTCTGGGTGAATCGGACCAATTGAGATACGAATAGGGTGCTCCATTGCTGAGATTTGAGAATTCGTTCAACACCTACCCTGTATTTGGTTGCTCTTTAAGTATTTATGCATAATCCTATGCCACTTGTTTCGGGTTGCTGCAGAGTACTTTCTCGAATAAGATGATGGTTTTCATTATCAGCCATTCCCTTCATCCATCCTGTCATTCCCGTACCCATCGACGATCTCCCACAACGCACTAGCAAGCTCTTTCACGTCGTCATTCTCGAGGCCCATGCTCATGAGCACACCATCACTCCTTCTCATCCTTGCAGTCTGTTCCACAAACCTAGCATACCCCATAAGCGGAATCGATGTAGAAGGTGCTGTGACGAGCGATGAAGCCATCCTAATCGATGTTGGTCTAGTGTGCCGGAATATGGACGGAAATGATGTCGGCACGGGATAAGCAGGTGCATGGATGCTAACCCCATGACATGAATGAGTTCGGATGTATGTCATACGATTGAGCCGTACCTGGAATCCAGAGGTTCCTGTAGCGATGATATGTCACACCATGCATCGAATGCTGCCAGATCTTGATCCTGCAACCCTCGAGTTACGTTTCGTCTCGCAAAAACTGCGCGCTCGTCCTATAATTACTTATTACTTCATCATGGTTCGTGCGATCAAGGCGTCAACATGATCCTTACCTTATTTGACAAACCAGTCGAGAAGTTGCAGTACATATTGGCGAACGTTCCCTCAGTCGCAGAAAAAGGTAGGGGGACTATGCCACCCAGTTGTCCCAATCGAGAACATTTTCGCCAGTTCAAGTGGTCAGCGATCATTGCGATGTCCTCCCGACTGCCTTTAAGTCTGTGGAATCAGTTGATGATATGTTCATTGCCTGTCAATGAGAATAGCATGCCTTAGTGGCAGCGTGGCAGTCTCTACCAGCGACGAGATGACTCCGGACGTATGATACAAGCTGTTTTTCTGCAACGTTCAGTCAGGAAAGTATATGTAGAGTTTTGCAGTAGACAAACATTATAGGAAAGTCCCTGCGATAGGTTACTTTCCAACGCAGACCATCGGGACGGATTTAGTATTGGGAAAGAGATATCCGAAAGCTGATCCAAGCTTTGCAAGCATAATGCGTCGTTTATAATTCTCTTGGTGTCGAGAAACTGCTTTCAAACGTTTGTGTGGCATCTACGTGGAGGCGCATACACTCACATTGTCAATGCCAGCATGATTTGGGTCTGCGCCCGAAAGGAAACTAAAGTTTAGCGTAGAAGCTTTGAGAAACTCGTCGCGGAAGGAAGTCAGGAAAGCATGCGAAAAGCCCCCGAAAGAGGGTGTATCATGCATCATTTGCAAGCCCTGCAGTGGGAGGTTGACTTAGCGGAGGGCTGGAAATGGCATGAAAAAGAGCCTACCTGGAAGTTATCACAGTTCTCGACGAGCAGACGAAACGCCCCTTCCATAAGCTCTGTATCCTGGAGAAGTGTTAGAAATACCACAAAATGGGGAGAAAAAGAATGTACCTCGTTATATCGCTGGAAGAGATCTTGACCGACACTCCACCCAGCCTGGATATTTTCCAGTGCGTCAGGGATGGCCTGTATGGATTTTCGATCAAAGAATACGCGACTATAATCTGACCAGTATCTGATATTTGGATCTGTGCGTTCCAAATTGCCTTCTTCTAGTTCGCCTTCAAGACGAGCGTGATATTCGCTTTGAGGGATCGGATCTTGTGTCTCGCAAACGACCCTTCCTTGCCTGCAAAGTATCAGTTCGTATGACAAGCATCTGTTACGATCAACACTCACCAGGTCGTATCAAGTGAAGCATCGGTAGCTGTATCAGCTTGGCTTGTTTTTGCGAGTGTCCCGAAGTTTGCTGCTCAGATGCAGCTCAGACGATAGGATATCAATGCGCCAACGAAGGCATACACTTCTGGTCGAATGTCAACAGGCGTGGACAAAGAGTTGGTTGATTCTTAAGAGATGCAACGGTAGCTCACATTAAGTAGAGGACCTCACTTGGAAATGGTACACGTACCTGAGGACTTCGTCCCTCTTCGAACGAAAGGTCGTGGTTTACGATAGGTTCATCGTCATCTTCGTAGGTGAAATAGCTCTCCTGCGTATTCCAAAAATGTGTTCCTACGTAGTTTGCAAATGAGCCTGCTTGGATGTAGATGATTTCTCTCATAGCGTGAAGGTATTTTGAAACACGCTCGATCGGAAATCTATGCCGTCATGAAATGTTCCCACACTAGTGGGATAGTGCGCAGAACAAGCGCAGAATACTTACGAGGGCCTGCAAGGCCCAGGTCATGTTGGTCCAAGCTAGCTAGGCGGCCGAGTCAGTCGCAATAATGTCCGCCTATAACCTGCTTTTGCGCTCTTCAGACGAACAGTGTTATCTGTAAATAAGTCGAGTACACAAGAATTTTATTGAACATCCTAGTCGACGGAAAGACGACGAGGTATACGAAAATAAGGTAGTTAGAGCTCAAGAATATGATATTACTTAGAGTCATTTTCACAACAGATCGCAGATAAACAGCTTGTAAATGTGTACCAGACGACATCAGTACAAGGTAGTGGAACTACACACCAATATGAACGAAAACCATCCTCTGCTCCAGCGGCACTGTTGTCTTCACAGCGTGCGTAGCACGGTTCAGTGCCCAGGCCGCCTTCGTACAATCCATCGCACCTCCATCCTTCAAATCTGGGAACATGTTCTCATAGAAAGCTTTGACGACATGTTGTGCGACAGAGTCGTCGACCTGCCACAGCGTCCCAATGACGCTCTTAAACCCCGAAAACTGGAGACCAGCTGCGAGGTGGATCACTTCGTCGGGAGTCTCCTCATCCCCAACGGCGGTGTGACACGCTGATAAGAACGCGAACTCGGCTTGCGGAATATCTCTCTCCATGATATCGAGCAGCGTCAGATCTTCGTCTTTCATGATGAAATGTGAATTGTAAGGTTGCTTTGGGTCCTGCTTTCCATGACAAGCTAGGTGTACCCAGGTGTTCTCCTGCAAAGCTTCGAGCGCACCTGCTCGTGTGGCTGCGTCCCCAGAAATAGTCGTGTGTTTGGCCGTCGCAGGGACGAGCTTATGGACGAGCTCGAGCTCGCTGTCGACAGCCAAGAGCGCCTTGCCTTTCCCTGCACCCGGTTGACCCTGCCCGATTGTCACGAAGGATGAAGTGACGCGCTTCTTCATCGTCTGTCTGGATCTGACCAGAGCCGAAAGTGTGGGCGTATAAGAGCAGATATAGAGATCCTCCAGGCATGGCTCCCTAGAGCCATCTGGGTTGGTTCGAAACGGGTGAGCTGCGTGGAGAGGAATAGATGTGAAGGCTGCAGTTGGACACAGCCAGATACGACAGTATTTTAGTTTCAGATTATGCTGGAGGATGTTGACGATGGGTAGCATGATCTCGTCCCATACTGTCCGCAAGAGGACTATTAGGTCGTTTCGCGGCACTTTGGGGCCAAGGGTAGATGCGTGTCGTATTGCCCTAGCGAAACGATCTTTGAGATTTGTCAGATCTGCGAGAGTGACAGACGGCAAGGGAACATGATGGGGGTCTCCTGACGTCGGAACAATGATGGCGCTGCATGAGTATTGACTCGCAATGAGGATGATGACTGGGCCCTGGCGGGCTGCCGCTTGCAGGTCTGCATACAAAGGCGGGAGCAGGAACCGCGAGAACTCCCGAAGATCACGTATCTTAGCTATGGCAGCTTCCCATTGCCTCGTGATTCTCCTATACTCTGTTGCTGCCCGATCGGCAGCAGCGCTGTCAGTGATGGTTGCAGAACTCTTGGCCGCACTGGAAACGAGCTGGCTTAGCTCCAAATATTTATGCGCCAGTGTCGGATTTGCTGACTCAAGGTCTTCAACCGGAGTCCTGAGTCGGGAGGCCAGCGACCACTGCTGGCCACGGCCCTGCTCCACAAGTTCAACTGCATGTGGTAGATTGTCACAGCGGATGGCACATGATGCTGCATCTGCTGGGAGTGTTCTGGCGCGATGAAATGCAGAAGCAGCTTCGCGCCGTGAAGTTGCCGAAGACCGTGTTGCCAAATGAGCATCCAGAAGCTCAAAAAATGTCGAGTAGGCTTCCAGCGCGGATCCATGACCATGCTGCTCCGCTGTAATGGTCCAATAAAATGCGTCAGCGGTGCGTTGTGGGAACCCTTGAGTAGAATGTCTTGATGCGAGTCTGAAGTTCTCCACTGCAAGAGACAAATCAGCAGGGTCGTGTAGAATCCGATAACGAGACAAATAGGCCTCCTGCAGGCACATGTAGCTGAAGTACCTGTCAGGGTGCAGTGAAGACAGAGCTGCCAATGATTCTTGGCAAAGAGCAATGGCCTCCTCCACATCTTCATTCTCCCGAGTTAGCATGAAACGAAAGCAGAGTGCCGAGCTCGAATTGAAAAGAGTTATATAACGATCTGGAAGGTCAAGCCCCATTAACCGAAGGGATTCACGATATAAATAAATGGCCTCGTTAAGATCCTCTCTGACTTGCGAGTTGTTATATCTGGTTTGGAGCGCGATGGCAAGGTTGTTAAGCGTGGTATGATATTGTGGATGCTCAGGTGGGTGCAACGTCAGGGCCTCGCGATAGAGGCTGATAGCTCGGGTCACATCTTCAATGTCGCTGTATTTGTTGAAACGGTTGATGAGGGCGGTCCCTAGGTTGTCCAATAAGCAATTACGAGATTCGTGCCCAACAGGGCACAGATGCAGCCCTTCTTCGTACAATGATATGGCTTCATCAAGGTCATTAGGTTTGCCTTGGTGACTGAAGCGGGATACGAGTAACATGGCCAAGTTGTTCAGGTGAGTATCACGGTCAGCATGTCCCTCGGGAGCAAGAGCCACAGCTTTACGACTAAGCTGAATGCCCATGTCAAGATCATCGATGCTGCCGTGCGCATCAAAGCGTGCTTGAAGTGCTTCTGCAAGCTCGTGGAGGGTTCTGGGACAAAGTTGATGGTCCAGAGGACAGAGCTCGAGGACGACTCTTCGAAGGTGGATGCCTTCATCGGATCCGTCTGTTGGAAGTTCGTTGCATCTGCTGATCACATAATCAACACCATTTTTCCCTGTTGCGATGCCACGAAGGTAGGTGCCCTCTGGACAGAGAGGCAGTAGCTCACGATAGAGTTGGGCGGCTTCGCAGATGTCGACATCAGTACTTTTCCTGGAGTGGCGCCAAGTCAGCGCTTCGGTGAGATTATATAGGGATAAGGGATAATCGGGATGGTGCTGCGGACACAATGCAAGCGCGTCGCGGAAGAGGGAAGTGGTAGTATCAATGTCTTCAACATCATTTTGGATATAGCCCTTAAGGCGAACCCACGCGAGGTTCGTGAGAGCTGTTGCGCGGTCTGGATGCCCAACCGGACAATGGTTCAAAACCAACTGAAAATGCTCCATAGCATCGTTCAAGTGAGAGACATTCTCGCTTTTCACGTATGACGCAAACTGTGCGTGGCCCGCATCTGCGTCTCGAGCAATCTCGCAGTCTACGAGGGACTATAGTTGGCGTTCCGTCAGCAAAGCTAACAGGACAGAGTCTGGGGTCGCTCACATCAAACGGTGCGCCATTTTGATCGTCCCAAACATGTACAACAGCAACCTTCAGTGTGATGGAAGGTTGAACGTCGCGCACGGCCGGGAAGGATATATCTACGAGATCTTAGCATATGTGCATGAATGAATTAATGGGAACAGAATTACTCACCAAATGGGTGATCTCTATGATCGAGTAGCTCATCCCACGACATTTGAATTTCCCCGATGACCTCTCCACCGCCTAGCATTCGACGCAGCTCATAGGACGCCCTGATCTCTATTGACAATGCAGGCGAGGTATTTGATGGTCTATAAGCCAATGATCAGTTCTTGCATCACGTCAAAAGATCTCCATGGACTTTACAGAGTTACAGTATTCCCCCACGCTACCAATTCATCAGATGATAAGACACTGATGGCCGATTTCCAGCGTCTCCTCGAGTCGACATTGATGGACACGTAAATTCCAGCGGGAATGCGCCAGGAGGGGACTCGAAGATTCTTTCCGCTGATGACTGTAGATAGACTGTGAGGATCATGAAACAGATACGAAGACAATATGGAGAGACTCGCCTTCAAGTCTGATATATCGGCTTTCTGAGCTACCAGGCATGATGTTGCGATGGAGCAAGATGACGAGGATCGATGATGGGTAGAGTGGTGGACGGGATGAATGGGAAGGGAAGATGGGGGTGATGATATGGTGACTGCGGATAGAGTTCGGCTCAGCGGGAGATTGACGCTCAGGCTTCAGGTCATGCTGCACGTGTATTTCTATCACATCGGGGTGAACGATATTTAAAAGAGGTTTATATGTTGTACAAAATGTGAAGACAATATTTAATATTTAAACTAACATAAAGATGGGTGCATGACTTCAAATTTTGGTGGTGTTTTGTGTGTAATCCAAAATATCAAATATTCACAACCATATTCCCACAGACAATATGTCAACAAACATAAGAAATATAATCAGATTTTTCATGTCTGCTTCAACTTAAAGTTCAATTTCCATGTAAAACTTTGGAGAAAATTTGAAGTTTTACAGATGACATGACATTAAAACTCGATTTAAATGTCAAGCTTTGGCAAAACTTCAAGTTTTCTCCAAAGTTTATGTAAGAAGCAAACTTTAAATTGAAGCAGACATGGAAAATCTGATTATATTTATTATATTTGTTGACATATTGTCTGTGGGAATATGGTCGTGAATATTTGATATTTTGGATGACACACAAAACACCACCAAAATTTGAAGTCGTGCACCCATCTTTATGTTAGTTTAAATATCAAATATTGTTTTCACATTTTGTACAACATATAAACCTCTTTTAAATATCGTTCACCCCGATGTGAGATAAGCATCTTTATAAATTCTCATAATTACAATATTTAACACCGAAATATGCTCAGGCTACACTACCAACTGCCGCTTTGGGCGAAACCGAGCTAACGAGAAAATGATTTAGTGCTCCTGGGAACCAGCTGGTTTGTATTTGTGGTGGGTGTTTGTGTGATAAATAAAAAAATCATCGAGTAAAGGCGCAAATCCGGAGGTCTATCAGAGAATTTTGCCCAATCTCTTACAAAGGTGGTAATAGGCTGTGTGTGTATGAGTCACAGGCTGTACAAATGTCGCGCTGTGAACATCTGAGGGAGATTAAAATAAGGTATGTGGTTGAGATCTGGCGTGAGACATAGCACAGACATCTGCCAGATATCCTACAGATATCTGAGCGCTATCTTTCTGTCTATGATTTAATCACACAATTCCATGCCTGCAATGGCCAGGTTGTTCAAGCTTGCAAGTTCTCTATATCCCTGCGGCCATTAACCGTCACATCGCATAAAATACAATTGGCATTTGAGACGCATAACATGACAAGTGAGAGCACAACAATGATAAGGTATGTACTTCTGTACATCTAACCTGCTTTAAAAAACATCTGGATCGCTGTAACGAGTTTAGTCGGCAGAAATGAGGGGATAAGGATAGAACAGGGCTGCATCCCTACAAAATGCCTCCCATATCTCCCCCAAGTTATCGGCATCATCCAAGTCGATCGCCAAAGTCTCCTGGCCAATCGTGGTGCTACTATGACCCGACGTCTCCAACCATTGTTCAATGAATGCGCCTTCTAATGGTACGCGGGGATTCCACAATGGCCACGTTCCTCTTGGGAAGAAGGGAAACGCGGCAACGAATGCCAGCCAGAATGCATCCCGTCCCCACATCCACTGTGGCAACTTAGTATCGAGTTGCACGAGCCACTTCTCAATTTCTTTTGATAGCTTCTCCCAATCACTTCGATTTCTGTAGTCGAACATTGATGGAAGGGGGAAGAACGGGATAAGGATTTCATCGTGAGAGGGAATGCATTCAATGCTATCGGAAAACTTAAAGCGCAGTGTAAGTTTCAGCACGTCAGACGCAGCAAAGTTTGCTCACATTGGACTCGCTTTCAGTAATATTGCATCGCCACTGGTCTATCGCTGGCGACATGGACATAGCTTTGACAAAAGGCATGGCAAAACATCCATATTCCTCAGCAATTGAGACTGATATCTCGATAGGCTGCGAAAGAATGTAAGTAAGTCTTGCAAATTGCACGAGGCAGTTAACATACTATGTTCTGTTCTATCAGATGCTTTGGAAGGGTACCGGCAAATTTGATAGTGAAAAATAACGGCTTGAGCGTAGCGTCATCCATGTTTTGGCTTTGGACATCAGGATAGACAGTTGCGATATTGGTGAGCACTCCAGGCATTGTTATCTTGTGCGCAAGCGCTTGACAGAAATTCAGAGTGTGGGATTTTGGACTTGGAGTTCTTGCGCATCTGCATGCCACGTGACTCGCCACCTCTCCCACTCACATTTCGACGCATTCAAGATCCAGATTCAAGACTCGAATCAGTCATGAAGCATGATCTCGTCGACGGCACAAGTACGTTATATACCTTGTCTGTGTCTGGTGATAATATAACATTTCTTACAGTTTTCCAATTCTGCAATGATGCGCAGAGCCGCATCATTTGCAAAGTATGCCCCAAGAAGAATGGTGTGCACTGTACCATGGAACTTCGCTTTATCCAGAAGCACATCCTATCCGAAATGCACTCACGTCACACCAAAAAATTCAAGAACGGTCAAGCATCAAAAATTCATACTGTTTTCAAGATGGACTTGCGGCAGCCTCAACAATGCAGGATGGACTTGGATGTGGAGGTCGAATCGTTCGGAATGGATGGTGATAATGGCCTGATGGATCTTGACTCGTACAGCATGCCCGAGGCTGACTTGGAGGTCCCACTCTCTGAGCACTTATCCAATATCATTGGAAGTCGGACGTATGAGTTCAACGAACACTTCACCGATCTATTTGCCGAACTGCAAGAAAATCTTGCCTCTGGTGAAATCCCCTTCTCGACACCACTTGCGCCTATCAACAAGGAGGATGAGTTATGTGACTATAACGCACCTGACTTTGGGATCAATATTTTCGGTGAGTGCATTCGAGTTGTCTCTTTGTTTTGTACCTAAATGTGTTCACAGACTATGAACCTCCAGCAAAAAAGTACGCTCTTAAAGATATCATTCCTGATAATCCCACTTACCCCTGGCCATCACAAGCGGTGAGTACACTCGCCGTTATCAGTTATGCAACACATGCTTACAATCTTAAGGATTTTGTGACATCGCTTCTGTTCAGCTCTCCGCGCCTGCCGTTTTCTGATGCCCAGAAGAAAGCGGTACTCAATTGGGCAAGAGAGCTCGGCGCTCAAAATGTACCCTCACTTGATGCGACCAAGAAGTGTCAACTGTTCATTGAAGATCTTGTTGGTCAGCCAACCGAGAAAGTCACTGCCCGGTCAGGGAATATATTCTACCTGAATGATATTGCGAATGCAATTGCAAAGGTTCGTCTATTGCCGCTTCGAGTTAGAGTGCTGTATGTATGTTATTATCCAGGACTATGCAAATCCGCTTACGCATTTCGCAATGCAAGATTATCCAGAAGATGGTGGAAAGGGGATGACGCAGGTCTTCAACGGCACAAAAATGTTACTCGACCTTCCATCACCTCCCGCAGTTCGAGTGGACGGGACGATATATTTTGTCAATGAGCTGTTGAAGGACTCTTCGGGAGCTTACTTTATCCCAGAACGGTTTTTCCTTGGCTCTCCGTCTGTTGAGGGTGGTGTTGAAGGTTCTGAACAATCCGACGGCAAAATCCTCTATGCGCTCGGTCGCGCTGCTGAACCAACTGATGTGAGTGAGCTTCGTTGTGTTTTGTACAATTTTAAACGGTTTGATAGGCAGGATTCATTATTAACGACGAACAGGAAATCATCCCAACTCCGATATTTGCACAGTCATATGAAGATCTTTCATTAACGAATGAGCTTGACTGTGGACTCACTGGTGCGTTAGACTTTGGTCGTCTTTTTCAGTGGATGTGAACTTATGTATGTATGCAACAGCGTCATCTGCTAAATACGGGTCACTCGGTCCCAATCCATTGCGCGAAAAGGCGAAGGGCCGAATGGTATATGCAGTTCCTTTGATAATCTTTATGGACGATGTTTCGGGAAACATTTCGAAGCAATGGAACAAACATCACGCCATTTACATGTCGAACGCAAATCTACCCCGCGAAATGCTCGAGAAGGAGTTCTTTGTGCGATTCGTCTCGTCGTCACCGCATGCCGCTCCAATGGAACTAATGCGCGGGATGAAAGATTCTCTTCGGTATGTTTCTCTGGACTTATTCTGTATTTCTCTTGAGTTTTTGCAGTAAGGCAGCAGAGTCTGGCATTGTTACGTGGGACTGTAGAGATGAGGAGGAGGTCATGCTTATTCCGTCTGGACTGTTTCTTGCTGGCGACAATCCTATGCAAGCTGAGGAATACAGTCATGCAGGTCTCAATTGCAACTATTTCTGCAGGACGTGTGATGTTGGGGGCACGAAAGAATATAAGGCATCTGAAGAAGGTTATAACAGTATATTCAAGGTGCGAATATATCACAGCGTCTTTCACCTGATCTAATCTTGCACTCATAGTCAGGTAATTTACGAACACCCGAAAAGACCACTGAAGACATTCAACATCAATTTGAAGCTGCAATGAAATCGGGTGCCACGACAAAAGTGCAGAGTGCTGTTTCCTCCACAGGCGTTCGTGACAGCGCCTCGGCGTCCATCCTCGAGTCTCTTGTAGAACTCGGAAAGAAACTTCGTAAACGAGGGGCGGGCTTACCAGCAACAGCCGAAAGCGAAGTCACCGCAATGCTCGAAAAGGAGTTTGAGGAATTGCTACAAGGTGCCACACTCAATGACACAATGAATCCGCTGCTTGGGATGAATGGTAAGCTCGAATGATGGTGTTTGTGCCGCACTCACGATGTTGTCCCACAGGGATCAACATGCACTTGGATACACCGACTGAAATCCTGCATACAATATTGTTGGGTGTGGTGAAGTACTTTTGGGGTCAGAGCATTTTTCTCCTCGAGAAAGTGAAGTTTCTGCACATCTTTCAGAGCCGCCTCGAGTCTGTTGACAAAGACGGACTGAACGCACCCTCTCTCAATGCGGACTACATATGTCACTATAAAGGCAGTTTGATAGGCAAACATTTTAAGAGCCTGGCCCAAGTTATGCCCTTCCTGGTGTACGACCTCGTCCCTCAGACAGTTGTCAATGGTTGGTCCGTCATCGGAGAACTTGTCGCGCTTGTTTGGCACACGACGATACCGGATACCGAAGAATATCTTGTGAGTTCACACTGCTGAAGTGTTGAAACATGTTGTAGACTGATTGATCTTTTGTAATTAGGCAAGGTTATCCCGAACGATCGAGGACTTTCTTAACATCACAGCGCAATGTGCTCCGAGCATTCTTATCAGCAAGCCCAAGTTTCACTTCTTAATTCATCTTCCAGCTTTCATCCGTCATTTCGGACCCGCAATCATATTCTCCACCGAGAGATATGAATCGTTTAATCACGTTTTCCGACTGTCATGCATTCACAGTAATCGCCGTGCGCCCAGCAGGGATACTTGTCGACTCTTCGCATACCAAGACATCGTGAAACACGTGGCCACTGGTGGATATTGGTTTGACTGCAATGTCAAGAAATGGGTTCGCGGAGGAGCGCAGGTGCTATGTTATATCAACGAACGCCCAGAACAGGCCCACCTGCTTGGTATATCAAGTATCTTGTGCGAGCCTCCACTACCAGGTCAGTCAGGTAGCATACTGTTGTGCTTTTACTCAAGTGTACATAGGCACCGGAAGTCCTGATACTGTCATTGGCGCAAGTGGAAAAGCGCAACGAATGGACGAAGTACAATGGAAGCATACTCGTTGTGCGAAAATCCTCAAGACTTCTCGATCCGGCGTTTCCTACTACCACGGCAAATCACTAGTGACGAGTAAGGGAGATCAAGTCGACTTGAATGGCCACGTCATTTTCCGATGACCTGCGGATGGACAGGTAAATGATTTTGAGCCTCTCTGTAATCAATCATTGATGTGTGTGTAGATGCTTATTGGACGCATCCGCGAGATCCTTATATCACACGACATCGATAAAACCGTGGACCATGTCGCACTGCAAGTATTTTCATTCGGTCCTACATTACATCCTTCAGTCTTTCTACCATGTCTCGGCCTTACGAATGACGAAATAGTTTCAATGGCGTCAGTAAGTAACATATTCTGAAACTCAGAGCTATCTGTTGAAGATTCATACAGGATATCATTTGCTCCGTCAATCTTCAACACAACTGCATCGATTCCAAATGCGTAGACATGCGCCAGCAACATGTACTTCAAGAACGGATTCAAACCACACGAACGAAGCCTGTTGTTGACCATCAGCCTACTCCGCACTTCTTCCTCAATACCTACTCAATTCACAACTGTGATCATATCCGACTGGTCATACCTGAGGCGCTTCGCGAGTCGCCATTGAGGGTCACCAATCCGGCTGAGGTTCGGAATTTAGCTGTTCAGCAGATGAAAGATAAAAAGGCAGCAAAGAAATTAGGTGACAACGCTGGGCCTCAAGAAGGTGCGACCGCCGTGGAGGAAGGTGTCCGCAATGCAACTGCACCACTTCCCGCATTTGATCGCGCTCCCACCAAAAAGGCAGCCACCAAGCCAAGAAAGAATGCAAGCAGCGCCAGCACACGAGGCAGGAAGAAGACGACGCCATCAGATGTTGAGCAGCCCATTGCTGGGACCTCGAGACGCATGTCTCCACCCACTCAGCAGGGTCCAATGGTCCCATCCCACCAATCACTCATGCCGTCCCCACTGCAAGCCTCATATTACCCTCCGCCGCTGCCAATGGGACCTCCACTGCAAGCCCCACATCATCATCAGGCTCCTTTTCTGCCGTCATATCCCAATACAGGTCCTCGAGGAGTGCATGTGGCACCCCCACCCCTTATGCACCCTACTTACACAGTCGCATTCCCCCGCTCACAACCTCCTCTGGCAACACACCAACTCCCCACCTCTGCCGTTAACCCCACGCAAGCCGAGCTACCAGGTTTGCAGCCTCGCACTGCACACGCACATGCACAGATGTACCCGAACCACCAACAACAAGCCTGGATGGCTCAGGCTCGTGTACAGATGCACCCGGATCACCAACAGCAAGCCTGGACGGCTCAGGCTCATGTGCAAGCCATTCACACTCGCACACAGTCACAGACACAGCACCCACCCCATTTCTCAGACTATCTTATGCATCCCCGGGATGGGCACTAAGCCGCGAATCTTCTTGAGCCCCGACCGGTGAACAAGCGTGATGGAAACACCCTTGAAAAAACTTTTCAGCTGCCTGAACTGCTGGGAATCTTACCGGAGGTCCAGTGCGCGAACATCCCTCTGCTTGAGAACAGCAAGAGCGGCAGACTGAAAGCTGCCCTGCTTGGGGGATGTAATTGAGAATCCTCCAGGACGGGTTGAGAATCCTCCAGGATGGGGGGGATGTAATTGAGAATCCTCCAGGACGGGGGGATGTAATTGAGAATCCTCCAGGATGGGGGGGATGTAATTGAGAATCCTCCAGGACAGGAGGGATGTAGTTTAGAATTCTCCAGGACGGGTATACTACATATATACATTTTGTATTGCTTTAATGTTATCTTCCGAGTCTCCCTCAGGCTGTTTTGAGTGCTCAACCATGACTCAAGTTTGTATACAGCCGAACAAAACTTACGACACACTCGGAACGGAAAAGTGTGGTGATGTCCCTCAGTCTCCCTCACCCTCCCTCACCCAACCAACTCCCTGCTCGACGATATTGCTCCAACGGTTCCCCGTGAGGTCTGGAAGTTCTAACAACAAGACAGGCAGTTCACAGCCCAGAGGGCCTGGATCGACGAGCAGGCTGTTGTCACCAGCCATTGCCGGGGGACCCCGAGGGAGGAGTCTTTCTGCATCTTTTCAACGACCTTCTGGTTCCGGTACACCTAGGCCATCTGGAAGCAGGAATAGCAGTATCCGGCGAGAGCGCTCACCTCTGGGAACAATCCCATCAGTTCAACCAGGGAGTGGCCACTCAGCCTCTCACACTGTCGTTGATGGGCTTAGCGGTAGCGGTAGGGTCGTTTTGCAGACTCCATCTGAAGCATCTCTTGATGAGCATATCACAATTGGTGTGCGCCGCCGGAGAACAGACTCTGATGATGGCTTTGACATGACTCAGTCGCTATCACCCTCACAGGCGAAAAAGCTCAAGATGTATGCGAACCAAGTCGCTGAGGAGACTGGATGCCCACAGGAGGTTCTACACAAATTCATTGATGTCAGTGTTTCGAGATTACGATTGCACACTTTTGTTGACAACATTTAGGCCGGATCCATCTTTCACATGCTCATTGATTTGAAAGCCGCCTCATACAAGAGGAACGAGGATCAAGAAAAGGCCGCTCTCCTCGAGTTGAAAGAATTGATTGATTCCAAGGATTTCAAGGTCATTATTTGCCTTCTCAGAGGGCACCATGCTGACCAGATTGAAATGTAGTCGGCGCTTCAGAGTCGTTTAACAGCCTGTCTCCTGTCGCCAAACATTACCGCTTATGTCACCGACACGCACACAAACATCATGGTACCTTTTACACTGCCTCTTGCATGCACGGGAATTGACTTTAGAGCAGGAGTTTATCAAGAATCATCGTGAAGTGTTCAAATTGCCGGCTGCGCTGATTCAAGATGTCGAGCTTTTGGCACAGCTCTCGAAGATCGTCAGCGAATTGCTCTCATCTATTCGTGGCAACCTCAAGGCCAAGGTATATTTTTCATTAGTCCATACGAGCCATCATGACACTGACCATCTTTAAGTTGGTCGCATCGATCGCCAAACGCATGAGCATTATGGACACAGCTAAGTCACTCGCTCATGGAATAATTGAGGTGGAAGCTGGTCATTGGAATAGATACGCGTTTTTGGTATGTTTTAATTCTAATAAAAGTTATCAAGTGTTTAAAACGGGTCTAGCGGCGCTGCTTGAGAATCTTCTTGATCGGAGTCGGCGACTACAAAGCTATCCCACTTGAGGACCTTTACTCAACCTCGCTCGAACCTTCTCTTCATGCAGACCTCCGCGCCAAAATTACAATGGCACTCGATTGCGAAGCAGACATGGACGCAGATGAGGATGACCAGCAGCACGCAGAACGTGCTGAAGACGACATGGACCATACGAATGACAAAGGTTCCGAAGGAGAACTTGGCGTGAGCAACGAGGCTGATGATGATGGTAACCTTGGAGGGGGAGAGCACGCGATGGACAACGGAGAGGAGGAACAGAATCAGGATGAAGAAACCATCCAGCAAGAACCTGAAGGCAACGAGGACGACGATGCCGGTTCTGGATTCATCAAGGGAAAGAACGGCAAACCTCCCAAGTTCACCTCCGCAAAATTCTGGAATTATGTGGATTGCTCGCTCGAAGCTGTCCGCCAAGCTGCGAGGGAAGAGGCAGGACCAGATTATGCAAAGTCAGCTCGCGGCATATACGAAAACGCAGTACGAAAGTAAGTATATTGTCATTCCGCTGCGTGCACAATTGCTGATCATTCCATAGCATACTTGTTGAATACTTTCAAATGGACCTTGTCGAGTTTCCAGGGAGCATGGTCGTTCCTAAGCTCCTGAAAACAACTAGTCCCCAGTGGCAGACGACTATTCAGGACTCGTTGCTTTGGGGCTGAGTTCCCTAGTACTACGAAGCTTGTTCCGAAGCTCTTCGCGCCATGACCAGCACTATTCACTCCTTTGGTAAATAATTTCACGAGACCTTCCTTCACTTGCATTAAACACTATACATATCTACGCATTAATTATCATTGTGTCTACCCCGCCATTATTAATGCAATAGCGCTCAGCGTGCTCCATTTAAATCTTTTTATCTGATTGATTCCGAATGGCTGAGGTGTGTGCGAGATCAACCAAAATATATACTTCCTGTCTATGACACGAGACATCTGTGCGGCCTATGAAACCAGACATCTGTGCGACCTATGAAATCAGACATTTGTGTGACCCAACACATGGGATATCTGTGCGATATATGAAATGAAATATCTGCACAACATATGAAACGAGACCTCTGTGCAACCTATTGAAACCAGATATTAAAGATATTTTAGTCCAGTATAATGACTAGCTACGATTGTCGATGTTCCACCGAGGTCTCATAGATGTTGTCAGGTTCCTAGTAAAGATCTCTTAGATCACACATCCAGTGGCTCGCTCCGGCAAATTTTTAAATTGTCAGCAATTTCTGACGAGAAAACCCTTCAGAAAATATTATCAAAGGTTTGGCACATGGTACCCGATTTGGACATGTGTCAAAGGTCTGCGGCAGTTTGCAGTGTACAGTAATGGTACACAGAGCTAAATAAGAGGGAGTGGCAGGTGGGGGCAAGGAATAGGAAATAATGAACGAGAGTTTGAAGGATGCCTTGTCTAGGAATTGTAGTTAGACCTATCAAGGATGCCATGGCTTAGTGGTAGTGATGCTATGTATGTTGGGCCTAAATGTACAAAGTCATCCGTTCCATTCCGGCCATTGGCAAATTATAAATGGCCTATATCATGACACAATATGTTGTGTGATTAGTGTGATGTGTCACAGTAATTAGTTACATTTATTTTTGTCATTTTCGAGCACATTATTTCAGAGTAAAAATTCAGCGCAAATGTCACTGAAATTTCAGAGTAAAAATCGGAACTTTCAGCACCTCGATTTCAGCACCTTGTACTATGAATTTCATTACATTATCACCTGATTTTACCTACTGAATTTCATTGGATTTACTACCCACAGTGACGAAGTATTGAGGAAGCTGTGACCACTACTGGATTCACTCACCGCCGCCGAGAGATAACAGACTGAACCCTGCGGAAAAGGAATATCCATTATAGGTGGCACTGCATGGATATGTTGGCAGGTTCATAGTGTAGGGAAGCCTTGAAGGTGACAGGACCATACTTTGGTGGAGCTTCGACGAGAGGAAGGGGTTGTATTTGAGGCCAGGGTGGTGTCAATTGAACAAAGTGCAGAGTGACTGTCGAGTCAATGGTGAAAGAAACAGCGTGGAACCGTAAGATAGACGTGCAGAGGCACAAGGAATTCGAACTTGGGTGTCGAGACCGTGGTCCATCGAAGTGCAACGTGCCGGTATAATGCGGCATCCTGTTCTCACGGTGTTTCTTGGCACTTGCATATGATCCTTTTTTTTAGAATTTCAGACCCGGGTTCTGTTGATGATGGCAATCATTCTATAGATTCGGAGGGTACCCTATCAATACAGTCTCCAGGTATGTTATCAGTAAGCGGCAGGAAAAAGAGTGTCTGTGATGATTGCAGGGTATGTAGTCTACTTTGCGTATGTAATGTTCGTGATCACTTTCTGCTTTGCGAGGTGTTCGGGGGAACTCACGCCAATCAATACGTAGACTGGTGACCAGCCCGTCTATGAGGCAAGCCGTCGATAGACGGACTGGTAAATCTGGGTTTGAATTTGGATGTCGAGCAGATTCTCACAGTAACGTGATGTATAAGCCTTTTCGGGCATAACAAAACCATGTGAGCTTTTTGCTAAGCCCTTGCAAAGAGTCATTAAGTCCTTGTCTGCAGTCGACTTCGACAACAGAACATTAGCTGCTGGGCGGCATCGTTTGACGGACGTTTCATCGCCCATGTAACTCAGCTTCGAGCTGGAATTGACGTGGTACTATGGCCGTTGACGTCAGAACGTAGACAATGAGGCATGCTCGTAGCGCATCCATTTTGTTGTTATTATTGAGGGTCTGAATATAATTGATGGGGAGTCGTTCTTTGATTAAATCACACGTAAAATGATCCAGCACATCAAGAGAAGCATTGTGAATGGCTTGGATGATGGAAGATTGGTCCATTGAATTTGCAGGTACTATAGTTCGCGTCGCGTCGCGTTAATAACAAGATAATTATATCATTTGGTTTACATTCATCGAAAAGCACTCGTTTTCTCATTGGCCAGACATCACGTTACTGTGAGAATCCGCTCGACATCCAAATTCAAACCCAGATTTACCAGTCCATCTATCGATGGCTTGCCTCATAGATGGACTGGTCACAAGTCTAATCAATACGGGCATGACAAGGTTTTGCCTGCTGCAAAATATCTTGGCCCCTCGGTGTAATCACCTTAAACTCTGTCGTTTGCTAGTAAAATCTGCTTCGGAAGGCTGATGACAAGGCGCACGGCATCTCCAACCAAAAGGAACACTTTCTGAGTGACATCATGCATGAGTGCACGAACATCCGGATGAGATGTTGAGAGCGCTGTGACGGCTTTGGTGAGATGGCCATAGTGGATGGAACCTATGACATTGTCAGACTGGCCAGAGATCTCAAGGGAGGAGGGTTTGAGATGGAGGTGGACGGTGATGGACAGCCTTCGGGAAATGCAGCAACAAGTTTTGCAGGATATATCTACTGGCAACCATGGAGAATTAGATGAGACTATAACAATGAAGCATGGAACTTCCCTAATGTTGACCATCTGCCCTCTGAACGGGCACACAGCAAACCCAGAGCAGAAAACGAGCCCACCATCTGGCTCGTTTTATGGTGATGTCAGGATGCGAGGTTCCAGCTGCCGCTGCAGTGCCAATAGCTGCAGGAGATGTAGTGGATGCCATTGCTGTGGTATTCGGTTGCTGTGATGATGACAGATTGCTTTGGGTTGCTCCGCCGTTATGTTGTTGCATGGTAGGAGGCTTAGGAGGCTGAGAAGAGCTGGTAGAGGGCTTCTTTCTGGCATGATAATTCCTCTGTCAAAATGTGTTAGTGATAAAGAACTTATAGAGGAACGAATGTACTGGCTTGCCTGCTGTTAGCGGGACCTTGACTACTGGTGGCAACCATATAGCCAATCCATCTCATCTGCATAGCATACCAGAGATGAAATTTTGAGCCAGGCTGAGAAGGTTGTAGGAGGTTAAGCGACTGGGCTGCATAGATTGGCGTGATGCTGCAGTATGGTGACCATGTGATGTCGACGACTGTTGACATATTAGCCAATGGGATTGATCGATTATCAACTGAGGCCACATACATTAACATGGTCGTCAAAAAACCCTGGTGGTATTCGACGAACACCTTCAATCTTGGGTGCATGTTGTCATGTAACATTGACCTAGGATATAAATACTCAAAACCATGTAGAATTTTAAGAAACACACAACTCACGTCTACTAATGGCTTGTTGATGGCCTTCTGTGATGAACAAAGATCAATAAGTCTGTTGAAGAATATATCTCATACGACAAACCGCCTGGAAAGAAGACAGGATCGTTATCAACGTGGTTTGGGATGAAATGCATGCTAGCTTATTGCAGTTAGGAGGCCATTGAGCCCAGCTTGGATGACAATAGCAGAGACATCCCATGCATATACACGGCCGGAGTCGCAGCCAGTCACAAATAAGTTACCATCTGCAGCAAATACGGTGCTGGACACCTCATCTTCGTCTTCATGATGTAGGGGTGGCCCTATGCATTGATGGGTTTCGAGGTTCCATAGTTGTATTTTGTGCTTGTTAGCGTACGGTACACTTGCAAGGAAGCGTTCATTCGGAGATAATATAGTATCCATTTTGGAACCGGCAAGCCATTCACCATTGATTTCAGTCCAAGTTGCGGTGTCGAACCTCCTGCTCCCGGTGATGAGCATGCTTCCATCCGAGGTCCATGCCATGTCTCCAACGATACCAAACTCGAGTGTTTTGAGCTGTTCACCTGTGTTGGCATCCCAAATTCTCAGCATGTTTCCTCCGGTGGAAATCATCTTGCCACCAGGTGAGTAGCGAATGCCATACACAAGCTCCCCAATCTCGATTGGTCCAAGGATGATCTTTCCGCTCTTTACATTCCACACTCTGAACATGCCATCCATATTTACGCACACCACTCTCCCTCCGTTTGGACTCCAGGAGATACATATCACTGTGTGGGGATGATCAGCAGCTGCGTACTCCGTCCATTTTTTGATGACCCTGCTTCTGCTAATATCCCACAATCTCACTATGCCATCCTGACACCTGCATGCAACTGTCTTGCTGTCTGGCGACAATGCCATGGAAAGTACACCTTTATTATTTCCTTTATCCTTCCACTCCCCGACATGCATGCCACTCTCTAAGTCCCAGACTCAAAGTGAGCTAGATTCCATTGAGCAGGTAATGATCTGCCGTGTCATATTGGGTAGCTCTATGATGCCATTCACAGGTTGAATCTCTCCTTCAAGATGCATCTTTTGGCGAGGCTTCACGGCTGACTTCTTTTGTTTTCTGATGGCTGGTGAAGACATGATGTTGGTTTGGGAAGGCTGGGTGCGGGTCACTTTTAGCTCTTCAAGTTAGTATGGGTTACCCTCACATGAATGCTATCACTTACTCGGAGTACTTCTTTTGCACACAGAACACACATGTGGGAAATTAAAGCTGCAATGAAGTGAACCTTTTCTTGATGCAGAGTTGAGTCAGGAGGGAGGTCACTATTTAAGTCCTCTACAGGTTACTTCCAATGCTAAGCACAGGCTGTGCAGATCGAGCGCCCAAGTCTTCTCACGATATGTATAACTTCATCGACAACAAAATGGTTGCCAACCTGTGTTTATAACTGGCTCGATATGATTTCCTAGTCTTGATCTCTGTTCCAGAGCTACATATCAGTTCAGAGTCGAATAGGATGGCCAGATGTCTCGCACTTTCTTTAACCCTTATTCGAATTTTCCAATGTCCTACTCTAGTTCTTCATTATGGCTTCCCCAATAGCGGCATAGAATTCCTGGCGGTCCTACTCCGTGATTTACCCTAATTGCCTTGGTTTGTCTATTTGATGAATCGAAGGTCACGCTATGCTATTGTAAAAGAACTTAGTGAATTCTACCGTTCTGGCTGAATTGTTGCTTAGGTTCGTACGCGCCGCTGTCTGAACAGCTCTAGGAGATCTCATGCAGAACCCGTGCAAGTGCAGGTGACAGAGACTGGCTTGTTTACGTGTTGGTTTATTCTTCAAACATTGACGACTCGGCGGATGATCTATAAATCGAAGACTTGTCAGCATTGTCTCCTTCGCTGAAAAGCTTGCATAGGGAGGTGTGTCTCAGCTTCTCCCAATCTTAGTATGATGTATTCCACTGAGATCACAAAGATGGTGGGGAATCATACCGTCTTGAATACTTCAAATTTGTAAGCCTGCACATGATTCAAGGCCTTGTTGCCTTCATTTATGGCAGTGACGGTAGGTCATAATGCCATGTATTGTTTCTGTTCCCGCTCAGAGCACTGATGTCTGTCCTAGTTCATATCCCATATTTTCAGATAAACCTACCTGTCACAATTGTCATGCCACCTAGTGTGTAGCAAATCGACCACACGCCGCAGCCGTTATCTGCCTTGTGACAAAAAAGTAGAATATCAGCAGCGCGTATCCCATACACACTTATACTGTGAAAACACGCCCACCCTCTGACGCCTCCCTAACATAATTCACCTCCAACCAATTGAAATTAGTTCTCAGAGTGCTATGCTGAGGTCAGAAATAGTATTACAGTTTATTTGAATCATATTGGTCCACACAATACTACACGTTGGTGAACTAGAGAAGACATACAATACAACAACTGCAAGAGGGTAATAGAGCACTAAGATTTGCAAGACATCGCTTCCCAATTTTAACCACCTGCAGGCTGAGTGGGTATGCAGCAAACCCAGAGCAGGAAATGAGCCCGCCATCCAGCCTGTTGTATGGTGATATCATGACTTGTACCGGCTGCCCCTGCAGTACCAGTAACACCAGGAGACGTCGTGGATGTCGTGGCAGTGGCAGTAGCAGTTGATTGCTGTGATGATGACATATTGCTTTGAGTTGCCGTGCCGCTTTGTTGCTGCATAGTAGGAGGTTTGGTAGTTTGAGAAGATTTCGCGGAGGGCTTCTTTCTTGCATGGTAATTCCTCTGCATCGACATGAGACTACAAATACACTTGAAAGTAAAAAAAACGCACAGGCTTTCCCGCTGTTAATGGAACTTCGACTACTTGTGGCAACCGGATAGCTGATCTGTCTTGTTTGCGTAGCATACCCGAGACAAAATTTTGAGCCCAACTGATAGGGTTGCGACTAGGGTGGGTGGGTTGACGTGGCGCTGTTGTGGGGCGATCACGCAATGTCAAGAACTGTAGACATATCGGTCAAGGGAACCGCTCAAGTATCGACGGAGATCATGTACATCATCGAAAAATCCTTGTGGTACTCGACGAACACCATCGATTTTCTGGGCTCATTGTCATGTGGCATCAGCCTTGTGTGTCGATCAAAGTCATGGATAATGTCAAGAAAAATAACACATACATTCGACATTGATTTGTTGATGACATTCTCAGGCTGTAATGGACAAATATCAGTGGGTACTCAGGCTGTTGAAGAGACCTGACAAAACATACCATCTGAAAGGATGGAGCAAATATGTTGTCAGTGTGATTGAGAATCAGATGAATCAGATTAGCAAAGCTTACATTGTCCAACAGAAGGTTATCAAGACCAGCTTCTTTGATTATAGCGGAAATATCCCATGTGTATATGCGGCCGTTGATACAGCCGGTGATGAGAAACTTTCCATCTGCAGAAAAAGCCACGCCCTTCACCGACTTTTCATGGTGGAGGGGTGGTCCGATAAGCTGATCGTTTTCAAGGTTCCATGTCCGTGCTGTACTGTCATTCGATACACTTGCGAGGATGTGCTCATTCGCAGATAATATAATCTCAGTAAGTCTGTTGTGCCCCTCGAGAAAAGCAGTTTGGGTCCAGGTAGCGGTCTCAAGCTTCCTGATTCCGCCATCCATGGTAAGGAAAAGTGTCTTTCCCGGGCCATCAATGGAGGTCCATGCAATGCGCAAAACTTTTCCCTTGATTGTTTTGAGTAATTTGCCTGTGTTGGCATCCCAGATTTTGAGCCAGAGTCCGCTCATCGCGATCATCGTGCCATTGGGAGAATAGCGAACCAAGACAGGCATGTTTGATGTTGCCTTGATTGGTCCGACAATGGTGTCTCTGCTTTTGACATCCCACACTCTCCATGTATGATCCAAGGATCCGCTCACCACTCGCCCTCCGTCTGGACTCCAGCACACAGACCACACCAACCTTGTGTGACCTATCCATTTCTTGACAACCTTACCCATATTGATATCCCACAATCTCACTGCGCCATCATTACTCCCGCTTGCTACCGTTGTGCCATCCGGTGACAATGAGATGGCGGCCACTACTCCACTTCCTTCATCCTTCCAGGCAATCCCGACCTGTGTACCGCTCTCCAAGTCCCAGACTCGAATCGAACCATCGCTTGAAGAGGTGAGAATCCGCTGTCGGCGACTGGGTAGCTGTAGGATGCCAGTGACACATTTAGTGTGTCCTTGCATCTTCTTTTTATGCTTTATCACTGGTTTCTCAGGCTCTTGCCTTGCAGTGGCCATTGAAGACATGTTTTTGACTTGGGGGCTTCACCTAATGGACGATTTCAGCTCTGACCCATTCAACAAATAACATCACTCACTCAACAAATTGTGTACAGAACAAATTGAAATTGAACGCACGCGGAGTGAGAATTGCAGTGGAATGGATGTGTGACAGATGGACTGGTCCAGACTGATCACTGACTAAGTACAAGCTACTAAGCCCTCTGCCACGTATGTTATCTGAAACAAACGAGAATCATATGCCTGTTAGAAAGTATCACGAGCCTCTGTCTACCTTACAGTATTTAAGACTACTACCTAGTGAAGTAACAGTTGGCGCTCTTGAAATCCTATCTTGTATCTGGTTACCTGAACGTCTGAATTTCCTTACCCTTGTGACATCTCTAAAAGCTTACCGCTTCTTACTGCCGTCACATATTTTTTAACCTTCAACAAGCTTAACTCTTTACCTGCCTTTGATTCGGGAACTCTGGTTTGGCCAACCCATCATTTTGAATCTAGGCAACAAAATCATCATTATCAACTACAACTA